AATTGAGTTCAAATATTTCAAATTTAAAGAGTCCATGTTTTTTTAAACAACCTCGTGATCTTATATTTTGTTATACTATTAATTCATAGAAAAAAAACCTGAGGAGCCGTTAGTGAAAAACTTTATTAACAAATTGTTCGCGTGAAACTTTTATTATTTAAAATATACCAAAGTGACCTATTGTTAACAAAATGTAAACATATAAAAAAATTTAAAAAATAATTAAACATGGAAGAGAAGAACGGGAGGGGGAACGTACCACTCAATGGATTTGAGAACCTATTAAGATTTTGGATACTTTGATAATAACTGCTGGCTACTACAATAGTCAAGGTATAGATATCGAACAATATCTAGTAAACAAAACTTGTATTTTTTTAATATGAGGTTATTTTTTTGCAAAATCATCTCTTACTCAAATATTCGTTTGGACGTTTTTATCAAAAATTTATCAATGGTAATCGCTTTCCGTAGTTGTATAACGAAAACTTCCATTTAATGACAGTATCTCCTGCTTTGAGAGGTAAATTTTATTTACTTAAACTGGATACGTAGGTACTACAGATCATGGCTAAATACTTTAGAATTTAGTCATGCTACAGAACTTCTTGAAGCTGAAATTAAATACACCTAAGAGAAACATAAATAAAAAATATAGAAAGAAGATCCATGGAAAAAATAATTTAAATAGTAAACTTAACCATAGGTTAAATTAAAATACGAAATCCAAAATTTGATATACTATTATTGACCAAGAAATAAAATAGTTATGAATTACAAATACGATGGTCTTTGAAAATTCCAAAAAAAAACGAAAATAAGACTTTATATAACTAAAAATACTTTTATAAATGTACAAATAATACCCAATATAACTTTAAACTTATAAGCATATAAATAACTATTAAGATTTAAGGCAAAAATCATTAACCTTAGATTAAAAAAATAAAATAAAACTTTAAAGTGTCTTAGATGGAATAAAAAATTAATTTATATACTAAAATATGAAATAACTTGTCAATAGTATTAAACATATAAAGAATATCAAATAAACTGGGAGAATATATCTACAAATCTAGCAGAGAAGCTAATATTTCAAMGATCAATTCAAAATATGTAAATAAAAATATGAGGTTGAAATTATTAGCAATATTTTTATCTCGTGAGTTGATTTTACAATATATATAAAATCGATAAAAAATGCCTAGTCAAAGTAGTAAATTTAGGTCTTGAAAAATTTACTAAACGTAATTAAATTTCGTTCCAAACAATAGTTTTTTTTTTTTTTAATGACAATTTGAAACAGAATAAATTCATTCATACATACTTATAATAAAGATTTTTCCTTAAATTAATATTGTATTTTTTTATAATTTAAAAAAAATGTTGTCATAGAAACTCAAAACATTCCACCATTACTGAAATGATTATTTTTTATACACAATGATAGATAATATATTTTATAGTATTAGAATTTTACCGAAATCTTACGACAGTATTGACTTAAAAGTTAACAACAATAGCATATTATACAATTGTATAACAGTTAATTATTATAGTATACTATAATATATGTGATGCTTTTAGAAAAAATAAATTTAACACACTGTTTCCGCTCGGAATGTGTTTTTATATGCATCGATTTATTATTGAATTGAATTACAATTTAATACATTCATTAAGGTAACCAAATTAATGATGAATAGCACTCGAAATTAATTATACAGCTACATGAACTCAATGGATTTTATTAAACCAATTATTAAATAATATTTATGTATCACATTAATTACAATTTAATAAATCAAATAATATACCATTATATAATATCTCTTTTTTCGAAAACAAATTAGTATATAATATTATAATAGTTATATAATTATATAATATAGAAATTGAATCTATATTTATATGTATTATTTATTAATCGATTATAGACAATCTAAAATGTAGATTATTAATTTCATATAGAACATGTGATATGTTTTTAGAAAAAAATATTCCTTGTAATCTATTATATTTTTAATAATTTGAAAATTTTTAATGATTTTTCTCTTTTCTTATTGGATTAATAATATGTTTAAATTAGATATTTATTTATTAGATTTAATATTTATTTATTTATTTTAAAATTTGTATGTAAATAATAATCTAAACTATTAATAATAATCTAAAAGTATTTATTAATTTATAGTTACATAATAAGTATATCTTATTTTATAAAACTACCTGTCTAACTGAAATGCATATTTTATAACATAATATAATATGTATATATGATGTGCATCATAAAATAGTATGTTATGATCATTAAAATTTGGAATTTAAACAAGTTCCAATAATTAAGTTTTGATAAAAAAAATTTGAAAACCCATTCTACAGATCTAAAATTGTTTGTATAATAGGTACCTATCTAAAACGCAAGATAATCTAAAAGAATCGATAATAATTACTACTTTTATTTAGTGTTAATTCAATTGTGAAACTTAAATATGTACTGATATGTATTTATATACATAATACTTTTGGAGCAATACAATATTATTACACTGGGCTCTGGAAAAAAGTATCAGAAGGCGAATAAAATATCTTGATAAAAACAAAACTTGATAATATGAAAGTATGAAACTTCCACTCAGAATATAAAAAGATTCATTTTTTTGTTTTATCTCGATTAAATTCCAATTGTCTTTTATCACAGCGTTTTATGCCAATGATTACATTATAGACGTATATATACACTGCTATAATATATTAATCCAATGTTTCGTAAAGAGATAATTGGGTCTTATCGTTATTTCCCTATGWTTTTATATCTATATTGATTCGTTAAATATGTATTAGGGTTGTATGATAATAAATCATAAAATAATGAAAATCGCAAATTGTTCTCTTTATCATAATATTTACACCCCTCATATAATAGTTGTCTATAATACATCCCAACTCTTGCAACCGGCATGTATAATCGATGGGCGTGGTAATCCGTTTTAATAGTATTATACAGAGGGCTTATAATACAATTACGATGAAATGACTTTTTCTTTTGAAAAATACATGGATTTATTTAGTGATAATAATAGAATAGACAAGCAATCGTGTTCTAACTGATTTATTGTTTTTTTTTTTTCATGACAATTATTATTGTGACAATACATTTTATGGAATATACTGCATACATAATAATCTAAATGTTTAACTCCGAAGCAAGGATGGGAGAAAAATGATGTCTATTGATAATGATTAATAATTATAAAATACACAATATGTGTACTGTGTAGAATAGTAGTGGGTCGTACACTGTGAACTTATTGATCGTAACGACGTATAGCTAATAATTATTAATATTATAAGTTACAGTAACCTATTTACCTTTTGTAGTAATAAATTATTTTTAAAGACCTTAATAATTATTGATTAAGTTCAAGTTAAGGTGATTTTGTAGTTTCTATTCAAAACTTAGGTACAACCTGACTGACAAAGCGTTTCTGCTAAAAGTCGTTTTTCGTATACTATGATATTAAATCATTGAATTCATATTTAACATCATCTATTACATTGACCCATTTATAACTTAATGTAGGTACAGCAAAGTGCCAAAGTAACACCCACTTATTCGATTTTTGATATTATATTTTGACTAGAGGTAAATAATTATTGTTAAATTACACAAACAATGTCATACCATAAATATAAACGTATTTCGTAGATAATATACAAATATTAGTGTTAATTTTTCAACATAACGAGGAGGATTCGTGATTCAATCACAATTATGAATAATCAATATGYCATAAAAATATAAAACCCGCGTTAATAGACATAATTGGTGGTAAAATATTCCTTATAATATTAATGGCAAGTTATATTTATTTATAAGTGCATTTACCAGATGCGTCATTTCAWGAAAGGGTTAGTACGAATCGATACTTTTAATTGCTTTGAGTCAAAACGTACATTTTCTTTATGTTATTAAATGAAAAATTCCTTTTTACTTGTTTGGACTTGAACTTCTTTCCTTATATTCTATAAAAAATAAAATATATTTTTTCACATTTATTTTGTTAACTATAAATAAATGGTTATCGTTAAAAATTGAATAATAGATAACATGGTATAGGTAAATGATGACGATATAAATTTAGTTACCTACAATATRCATTCGGAATTCATCAGATTTATAATGTACCTAACTATTATTTAGTCCTAAATAATGAAACATGTTAAAGATAATTTCTATTGCAAGCCGTTATTTATTAATTTTGCATTATGGTTTGCATTAATACTTTAAGGTAGTTTATAATATTAAATTATAATTAAATATAAAAAGAATATGCTTTCAATATTCACCTTTGTTTATGGTCAATATATAAACGTCCTTATAATAATCAAAACTCAAMTTCTTATCACCTAATGAAATACCTATATCCCCATCAGTGCAAAGTAYACAATACTTTTTTATCATCTCTATCATGGTTATACTTAGGCAGTACTTACTTCAATTACATTTTCATGACTTCTTAAAAGTATTCTTCTTTATGGAAAACGTCGAATACATTTCAAAGATACTGATTTTGCAGTTACTACAAAAATTTATTATCGCCATCCGTGGTGCGTATACAAGAAAGATACTCAGATTTACCCCTCTTCCCTGGAGAATACGATATGTCCCCTGAGTCATAAGTAAATCCGAGAGGTCTAGTCGTAAACAAATAAAAAAAAAAACAATCTGCAATTGTTTCATACAAATAAATAATGTAAAATATTAACTCTGAGTTTAAAAAAAAGAATGTAATAAAGTGTTAGATAAATGTTTTCTAAAATGTAGTTTTCAATACTTTTAAAGTATCTTATATGTATAATGTATATACATACAGGTACATTATATATTACCACCACACTATCGTAAACACTTTAAACACTCTAGGTGAGTAATTTAAACAAAAATCATCATCTAAAATTATTAGACGAATGAATTATTACACCCATCTTGATTAGCAGCAGAGGTGTATATTATATATAGGTAGTAGGTACCCATATAATATTATACAGTCATCATAATTATGTTTAGACCCAATGGAAATTAATAATCCAAACGAATAACCACCGACTCGCGCATAATATCTTATAATAATGTATTAATAAACAACAACGTAAGAATATACTGTAATAATGGATTCGAATTTTCAACCATCCGTGGTGGCGTTTGGCTTGTCCACGTAGAGTTTCGGTGGCATCGGCACTACGTATTGCCCGGACGGCGAGCGGGCGGACAACGATAAGGCGGGCAATTGCACGTTGTACGGCGGAAGTATCGATCCCGGTTGCTGCTGTATGATCGGCGGCAGTTGCGGAATGTTGTTCTGGAACAAACCGGGTGCCTGGGCCGCGAATGGTGCCTGTGGGATGTACGGGGCCTGCGGGACGTATTGGGCCTGCGGGACATACGGAGCCTGTGGGACGTACTGCGGTGCCTGAGGGATGTACTGCGGCGATTGTTGCACGTACTGTGGCGGCAGATGGACGACCGGTGGCAATGGGTCGGTGGTGGACACCAAAAACGGCGTGCCGGCCACGATGCCCGGGCCGCTGTCGGACCGCGTGCCGTATAGYTGATTGTTTACCGCGTCGCCCGTCTGACCGCCAGCGGCGTGGTAACCGTCCCCGTTACCATACTGGCCTTGTTGACCGACTGCGTTCGTCTTCACCGACGAATCGTGGTAGCCCCCTCCAAATGCCTTGCCTTCTCCGTCTCTGAATCTGTGAATTATTACAAAATCAGTAGTGTTACTCTTATGTAGTCTTCGGTAAATTGTCCTTCGAAAAACTTATGTTGCAGTGTGTAAATTACCGAAGCAATCATAACAAAAAAATCTTTGTGGGAAATATTATATGAATATTGGGAATGGATATTTTAATTTCTAAAACATAAAAATAAATCAATACCCTTAAAAATGCATTAAAACGATAAAAAATTACCTAAAAATGGCACTAAAAATTATTTTATTGATGTGAACACGATCCAATGATTACTATTTCAATATAATCTATCTAATAAAAAAAAATTGGTGTACCTATCCTTGTGAATTAAATAAAAAAAAGTCATAATTTTAACTACATGCATAACATACAAACTTTAAAAGAAAAGTGTCAGGCAGTCTTAAAAAGATGCAAATCCATTGAAATCTGAACCCTAATTATTATTATGAACAATTTACTGTTAATCTCAATAAAACATTTTATAAATGTATAAGTTATTGTATAATTCGAGTATACACCTAAATAAGTTTTGACTGTTATTTTTAAATTTTATTCCATTGTTTGAACATCAATTAGGTATAAAATGTATTTTAAATGTCTATTTTACGAAAAAAATATTCATACCACGCATACCATAATCATGTRAAATGAATATGACTCACAGTACCTACTATCTATTATATATCATATATGGTACAATAAGTTTAATTATTTTAATATAATACACTGTACGTGTAGGTACCAAAACAATAGTTGATAAATATCTTTATTAATATAAATTCTTTATTAATACTAATGTACCTATAGCTTATGTTTACTAATATTATACCTTTGATCTTTCGCACCATATTGAATCACTCCACCGTGTCCAAGACCATCATCATAATATGTAGCTTTATTACCACTTTCATTTTTTTGATACGAAGTGCTAAATCCAGCAACTTGATGTCCCTTGTTCCGTCCATTTATACCACCATAAGCTCCACCTTCCACACTTGTAACTCCACGGTCGTTGACACCTTTAATTTAATTTACTCTTATCGTCAGTAATATTATACGTCATACCAATGAGTATGTTCAATATATTGAGCTAAAATTGATCGTACAAAATGTATTAGTATTTGCAATATTCATAAACACTTACCACCATAAGTATTGCCCACATCRTATCCATTTAGTGCACCGTTATTGTCTCGGTAGAATCCATTTTGGTCTCGATATCCATTGGCATCGATTTTGTTTCCACCGAAAGCCTGTAACGCTTGCAATCCGTTTAACGCCAAATTACTTCCAGCTGTAGCATATCCCTGGGGTACTTGATCCACGCTCCAGACTCCTGCGGGATTAATGATGGGTGGCCCTGCAGGCTTTAGCTGAATAAAATCACCACCCATCACTGTGTCCAGTGTTAAATTTATATAAAACGCCTGGACTGCCAATCCTATTCCGGTTAGATGTAACGATTTATTGGATGCCGTTGAAACTTTTGTCATTATCAACTACCTGTTAACCAATATTAATTAAACATTTTCTAAATTCGAGTTTTTAACGTCACCTTTAGAACGTGATTTATACTATAAGCTGGATAATTATTCCAAGTAGATTGAGTGTTCGTTAGCATATTTTTCGCTGTACAAATTTATAATTGTCTTAAAATAAACTTTTTACTTTAAATTATATTGCAAATATTTTTGATAACCAATTTTCATAGTTACATCATCTTGATTATAGGATTTTCTACTGTATGTAGTATTATAAACTGCATTGAATAGTTAAGTACTACGTATATTAAGTACGCTCAATGTGTCTGTCCATAGTCCATCCAATTGGAGCAAGTTTCCGTGGTTACCAATACTATTGAGAATCTTATAAAAAATATTATAATATTATTTTAACTTGCATTCCTATATAGGCTAAAGTGATAGTGCCTATAATATTATTGTGCTTAATAGTTTTTATTTAACAACAAATTAACTTTTATCTTTTATGATATTAACTATGGAAACTAGATATTTGATATAAATTTGCTACGACTTATTTTGCTTTTCTAAACGAGTTTTAATTAATATTAAATTAAACCCATGATGGTTATTTATTATTGGCTATAGTAAACTTATAAACTACAATACCTATATGGGTATGAAAATAGTATAAGCAGAAGGTGCACAATTAAAAATGAGCAAGAATTACGTTCTTCTATAGGCATAAGATAAGTATTATAGGTATGCAAAAATTTGAGATAACTAAAAAATTACTTATATAGGTACACTATTAGAAAAGATGTAGTAGAACAGATTGTACTTTAATTGATTAAAATTAATAACTTTGAAGTTAACTTTATTTGTAATTTAATATTATATTGTGACTTCATAGTTATTACTACGATAAACTTTGTTGTTATTTATATTATGCAATATTTTAATTTATTAATAAAATKAATAAAATTTAAGTATATAATATTTTTGTATTAACGAACCTAATTTATACGTACAATAATAATAGTTATTTAAGTACTTTTTAGTATGATTTTAACAATAAAACTGTTGCTACCGCATGTAAGTAATGCTATTTTAAAAATTACGTTACGTGTCTATAATTATATGTCTGGTTTTAAATTTTTTTTTACGCAATTATCTATGCAGTTGAAAAAGTTCAAGTAACCTTTCATTACTTTTTTAGGTTTATATTATATAAATATAATTTTTGTATTCAAATATTAATAGCAAAATATGAGTTTCAAATATTCTTTGCACGCAGCTTAAAGGAATATATTTATAATTCTTAAATATTCATTATAAGATGATTAATATTGTTACTATAGTATTTTTATAGATTAATACAAATTTCACGCTCAAATATCTCAACAGTTTATTATACGTTTTCATATTATAAATAAATAATACATTTCATAYATTATAATTTAATAAAAAATAGTACRTTATCAATACTTAAATACGCATTTCATGTTACATTTTTGAATACCTTTATTTTTTACAATAATTAAAAGGGATGTTAGAAAATAATTTCAGAAAGTTTATTGTAAAATATAAGTAGGTATTTAATTAAAAATGGTACCTATAAACTAATAGACATGCCTCAAAATAGTTTAGAATTTTTCTATAATTGTTATGCATGTCTAGACGGTAAAGACGCATTATTGTTTAAGGTGGGTACATAATAAATCAAATCTAAGGTCACAGATTAATCATACGGAACGTTTAGCTACTAATTATTTTAATCACAATTAGAAATCGTAAGATTAGTTTATCGTTAGTTATCGAAAATAAATGCAMATTAGTTTCGAATAAATGTAGTGCTGAAGATTGAAAATAGCTTTTCATTTTATTACAATTAATAAAGTAATAACTGTATTATTACTTTATTATGGTTAYATAATATAATATTATAATATATAATGATTTTTAAACAGTGAAGAACTTACTATAAAATGGTGTGAAAAATTTTTTTTCTTCAAAAATTTAAACGTTTAGGAAATACTATAAAAGATCAATAATCAAGAATTTATTTAACAACGAGTTATATAGGTGTTATAGGTAAGTACAGYTTAGGTATATATAATATATATGTTATAGAATTACGGTTCGAATACGAGGTTGGCCTATTTGTTTTTATTGTATACCCAACCGAATAGAATCGTGATAATATTAAGGTCAGACGAATCGTACGAGGACAGATTTCTGTATTTTTTTTTTGTACTTATATTCAAACAGATATGTGAAACCATAAGGTCAAATGGTTCTTCAAATGAATAGAAATGTCCGAATCGGGGAGAARCATAGATAAAATATGCATGCTTATAAAAAATGTCATCATTCAATACAGAAGTACAATATTTTAAAACTAATGTGCATTAAATTAGTTTTTTACGCAATTCAACTTGAAACAATGACGCAATTATAATTTCCTTGTGGTTTAATTAAGTATTCAGGAAGCGATTGAATAAAATAATGTATTAAACTATATGTCTATTTATTAAAAACTACAGTAATCATCATATTATAAGTATTTCCAAAAACAGTTCTTAAGTTTGTTATTTATACTGATAAATGGAATCAACACATTAAAGAAAGCACACGCAATATATTTCATTACCATGCTATTTATCGGTATAGGTATTTCACTAAAGACTAATATGTTTTCTAATTCATATAATGTTTCGATATTGACAATTAAGTGAAAAAAAAATGTTGAAAACAATAATAGTACCTATAAAACTAATGGAAACTAAAATAAAATAAACATAAGTCGGCTTATTGTCTTACAGCTTACCCGGGTAATGTCGACCGTTCTTACTACCAATAACAATAATAATTCGGACAATATATTTCTCATCAGCGTGAAAATAAAACATTTAAATAGATAAAAAGTGAAATATCATATTAATTGAATAAAAACAACTTACAATAGTTATACACTGATCGAAACGAAAATACTTCGCACACCACACCGAATGAATTCACACCGAGTTTTGTGCTCAAAATAACACTAATACTATAATATTATTATCGCCGGATTGCGGTATATCTGCAGCTGGTAGGTATTACTCGCTTAACACTATCACAGCTCTAAACGCGTTTCAAGCCAACTCTGTCTCGCCAAGTAAATCGTCTAACGCGAAACGTTTTACTACCTATATTCACACAATATACACAAAAACACTCATTCGTTTTGGCTAATGCCTACATCCAAACTGTTTTTACAGTTTAATGGTGAATTACCGGGTTCAGGGTCAATTATTGAACATAAATTGGTTGCTGCGGTGCATTTGTGTCCGACCGCCTATAGTGAACACCGAATAGTACACACACACACATATATATATTTAGGTATGTTGGAACCTATATATATAAGCATAAATATATAGGTACATGGACACACGTATATAGATAGGTACTACTATACTGTGAATATAGTCGGCGTGTTTATGATTATAAGGAACATTATTATAACCTTCAATTACTAACGTGACGTTGATTCGCATTCCCGACAATCTTCAGAATCTAACTACTGATACAATTCAACTCTGATATTTTAAACCTTCCACCTATAATATGCCTAATGCCTATGTGTTATTTTTTTCGGGATTTAGATATGTTATTTTTAAATTTAAATTTAAATTTCTAATATGTGTATAAGTTAAGATTTTTTTTTAACGTAGATATTATGTTTTTTGGGCTGAGCATAACCCTTTTTAACCAACTTTGCGTAACACTCTGTTTAGCGCTATAGATATGAAAATTAAAAATAAAAACACATTTAAAAAAAAAGTTAGTTTGGAGCGAGATATGAATTAAAAATCAATCTATAATTTTTATTTCATTTAATTCTTCACAAAATATAGCACTCAACTAGATATTTTTTACTACACTATACATATTCAAGAACTAAATACAACATTAAAAGTCGTTTTATAATTTTTTTTTTTTTTTCAATACAACTTGAACAGACTTATTTCAAAATTATCATTAGAAATGTTAATATTACTTTATCACTTATACCTATATTGTGTTTATTTAAATGAATGATGAATTAAAAGTAAAAAATTCGACATTTATTCGGTTTCAAAATATTTTATATTATTATGTTTTGGTATCATCCCATTTAACAAACCAATCAATTAATTTTGTTATATGACGGCTCCTAAAATTGCTGTAGGTATTTACATAAAATATTATTTGGCCTAAATATTAGGTAATGTATTTAATATTTTATTAGATCCAGATGAATCAAAATCCAAATCATTAATAATGGATTTTAATAGGGGTTCTGTCGTTCAATATATTTTAAAAACTTTTTACGTACCTATAATCTATTAAATATTTTAATTAAAATGTTTTATTGAAATTTAGGGGTCCAGCTCATGCAACTTTTCTAGACGTTARAATCTAAACACACCACTTTTATGAACATAAATATTTTTCTTTGTGACCAATGATTAAAGTTACTCAAAATGAAAAAGGTTATTGTGACATCTATATGTATCTACTATTATGATTTCTATACTGTTTTTTGCATTCCTCATAAACAAAAATAATTTTTATTAATAAAAAGTTTTTAATTTATTATATTATCATAATTAATGATGAAGAGAAGAATCTTGTCTTCATTAGTTCTTCTAATTTCTAAATTAATATCATATATTATTAATTTAATATATAATATAAATGCACATTTCTGATTTAAGCAAGACATTTTTTTTTGATCCAAAATGYAATACCCATCATCTTCTTCAGGGTTCAAAGTTAATATAATATAATAAATAATATGGAAGATGGAATCATAAATAAAACTATATKTTTTAAACAGACAATATAATTGCAATAGAAATATTAATATTATATTTGCGATAGGACTTACATAAAATTGTACATATCTAAATTACGTAGTTTACTTAACATCTTAATTCATATAGCGCGTATAATAGGTAACAAAATAAAATAGAATACAAATTTAATATTTTGTATAATAAATTGTATATAATCAAATTAAATTAAATATATTAAATTATTTTATTAAAGTAGGAATATAATCAAATATAAAGAACAGGAGATGATAAAAATAATTAAACTAAATAATGTAATTTATACTATAATATATTTATCWAACTGAAAAATATTTAATGCAATAACTTTAAGAAAATTTTTTGATTCAACTTGGAGACTTGAGTGTGTATAAGCTTAGATATTTTTTAAAGAACATTTTTAAAATACKTCATTATGTGTAGCCAGTTTAGAGAGACTAAGAAAGCTGAATCTCCTTACGTCACCGAATTTTAACCCTTGCGAGTTACTTCTATTACTTATTGTCCTAAAATACTGTTAACTTGGAATCTCGGGCAATATCCATTACGTAGTCTATCTATAYATTGACATTGTTTCCTGTGTTACTTTGTTCTTGTTGGAATGTTATTGATATTCAACTAAATTTGATTTTATTACGTATTTTTAAGGGTCAACGTTTTATTAATAATGGAAGACATCTCATGTTTAAAACCACATCATATTTTTAACTTTTTTATATTAAATGTTACTATTATTTCGTTAAACAAAATATTCTATAAATATATTATTATATTATTGTATAGCTAGTTTATAATGTTTTAATTATTTAAATAGTATATAATTATAGGTTTTAAGGTAATTAAATATGTGTAGTTATTTACAGCAACCTGGATGTAATCTATGATGWTTTTGTTCTGCGACGCATAAAGCAGACGTTTGAATGTCAGCATCTTCTCTAATCAACATTTCTCTGGAAATAATTTGTTGAAAATAAAATAAATGTGCAATAGAAAATAAATTAATATTCACAATGACACAAATACCATACTAAAAYCAAAAATTAAAATTTTTTTTTGATAAGTTACCAAAAAGTCAATTACACATTAAATACAGTATAGTATTTTTTGAGCATATGCAATGTTGCAAAAATATGTTTTAATGAAACTTTAGAATAAAATGTATATTGACAAGGAGTTCATATTAAAATAATAGATAGAAATGGATCTCATTATTTGTATTGTTTACGCATGTAAATACATAATATGCTAACGTATATATGTGAGAAAAGATCATTCTCCCTAAATTTTATTACACTTTGTGTTAGTTCATATTGTATTGTTATTTTTATTTATTCTTTACCATAAGTTCATGCACACTTGACTAATTCRTCGGAGTAAAATAACGCCATGCATAATTTGGCTTGTAGGCAGGTTATAGACAATAATAAATTATATTAATATATTGTGGCTATAATAAGTGAATCAGATAATTTGATAAGCTTACAATTAATAATATGAATATATTATAATATATTTTACCTATCGCAATATAAAATTATGAAAATATGAGTTCAACAAATACATTAAATATGTTTTATATTCTGTGCGGAGCGATGGATGTATTATTGATTTTAAAATGATGTGTGTGTTTTTTTTTTGTGTGTCTGTCTCACAATATCTCATAATTTTTTGTGTGTACACGATAATTCGTTGAAATAATTCGTTGATTTTCAAAATTTTCAGCTTTTCCGGTTAGAAAGTGAATCTAGTTGTTGCGTAGGGGAGGTMAAATTTTGAAATTCCCAGTAGTTTTTAAAAGCACAAATTTAATATAAGGTTCCCAATACGTTTATATAATAGCAGTTGGAAAATATTAAAAATTCATAGGCACGTTTTTTTTTATAACCATTTAAAATTCAAATCTTGAAAAAATGTATTTAATTGAAAATTTACAAATTCTTTACTTGTTGAAAATTTATAAAAATTTAAATTGTATAGATAAGT